TTACCTTACCTACCTACAACTCACTACTGCCTACTGACTACTAACTACTAACCGCTAACTACTACCAACTACTACCACTACCACTACTACTACCACTACGACTACTACTACTACTACTACTTCTACTACTACTACTCCTACTCCTACTCCTGCTGCTGCTGCTACTGCTACTGCTCCTACTCCCTCCCTTTGCAGATTATTCAGGGGTCGTGGACCTTATGAGTGGTATCTCATACCTGGTACCCCTGAAGAATTGAAATGATCAATCTTTGGGGAAGTCGGGTGACAAAAGCACTCGGGAATGAGAATAGTTGCTCCAGAATGGTTTTTGTTCAACTCCTGCATACCCGCGGCATGGCGTTGAATGGGCAGTCGCTAGGCGTGGCTCGGCGTGGCTATGGCTCTGTCCTGACCTCTGCTTTGGCTTTCGCTTTGTTTGGGGGTGGCTAGGGGGCTTCTCTCCCAACAAGGTCGGACTGGAGCAACCACGCCAGAGGAAACCACGCTCTGACGCTCCGAAGTGTTCCCCAAACTCTAACCAAACCAGGAGAGCACTGCAGGTGTTGCTACAAGGAGCAAGGACGCTACTAGGGGCTCCTGGCCGTACTACTAGGAACAAGAAGCTATACTAGGAGCTCCTGAAGGTTCTTCATCTTCTCGGCAAAAGTCGTACTTTAGAGATCTTCCCCAGTGGATTGGCAGGGTGCTGGTGGAGTTACTCTATAGCTATAGATTGTAGTGGGAGTCACAAGCTTGCAGTGGGTGCGGCTGGTCAAGTACGTCTTCCGATCTTTTCTGGTCCAAATGGACTGCATGCCTGCATGCATCTGGATACAACATCTGGAGGCATGCAGTTAGTCAGTTAGTCATGAAAATGGACATCGTTTGTTCCCGCCGTCGCGCCCAGGGACTCATGATGAGGATGTCCATCATACTCCACGAAGAGGGCGGCATCTCTGTCCTCCCGTGGATATCGGAGCGGCAAGAATCTGCCGATATCTGGAAGATACATGAAGATACCATCTGATCTGCAGTTGATGGACAAAATAGAACATAGTCCGCATCAACTGCCATGGCCATAAATGGTACTTGTCAAATGGCAGTTGATCTCGCCATTTTAAGTGACGCCTGGTGCAGGATGGGTCTAGTCGCCCACCACTCGAGAATCAGTCGTCCGGTGTGTTCCTCGCGTGCTCAAGTGGCTGAAGCCAAGGACGTTCCAAACAGTGGTTCCAAAAGATTTTTCAAAGGACTGGATAGAGATAGAGGATGGAGGATGATCGGTGCCCCTTATCCACCACGACGAAATACCATTCTCACATGGGGTCTTTCTGTTCTTCTGCTGGATCCACTCCATTTGATCGATGATTTTGTCTAAAACAGTTTGGACATGTTTTGATCCTTCTATATATTTCGCCCGATCATTAGAAGGACAAACATCAGCTCACGGGGTCTCTCAGGTGGCCGTGGTGTTGTGCCGTTCCCATCCAGCCCTTCCACCGGCTGAGATGGGAAATAAATGGAAAAAATCATTCCCTACTAGGGATCCACAAACCCTCTGAGAAGCTGAATGGACCCTCCTGGCGCCTACATAGTCTCCTTCCTCACCGTACCGATAGGAGGGTGCCAGTGGATCCATAGGGATTCCCTTTTGTGCACTTTGACTTGGATTTGCGGCGCAACCAGGGTTTGCCCAACCCAAATCCATGAAACATCATCAAACCACTTTTCCAGGTTCGAGGATTGACCCAGGAGACTGGAATTGTTCGACCATCGCCTGATCTGCAGGTCACCAGGTTGATCCACTTACGGTCACCAGTGGTTCTAGAAACCACTCTGCGAGTCTTGGGTGACGAAGGTGAGGGTGAACTGCCCTTTGACGGGAAGCGAGGGAAAATGCATTGAGGACAAGCCCGCCTCAGCACTCAGACCTGCTATAAACGATATTTCTGTTGATGGTGCGGTTTCTTTTAGGTCTGAAAAAAGTAATTGTATATAGACCACTTAGTACACCATCTCACAAGCTCGTAAAACTCTCCAGACCTGCCGCTCAATTCCATCCCAGGAGTTAGATTGCCTTGAGCACGCCATAGGCAGCCAAGTCCGGTAGCAACTCCTGAGGAAAGTGGTACAAAAAACAAAAAAAAATTGTGCTTTTGACGGTCCACACATGTCCATGCACATCCTATACTAGTTACTAGTAACTAGTAGCTCATCCCCTTGACTACAAGGGACAAAATCCTAAAAACAACATGGAAATGGAACAAACTCATTAAATTTGCAGCTTCCAGGACAAATGGTCTTCCGGACCCCATTGTTGTGGGCTGGGTCTCTAAGAGAAAGGCTCTAAAAAGGATGAAGAGCTCTACCTCCTGAGGATGGTCCGCGAAAAAAACTGAAAAAACAGGCGCTCCGAATGATGATGTCCTGCACACTGGCAGTCAGTTGTTCGTGACCGTGCGTGTGAATAGCTGGGTCATGGCACCCGGGTTGACTGCGGGTCAGATGAACTGATTCCTCGAGCTGTTCGGGATGTCGACCTTCCATGGTTGGGTGGAAGAGGTGTTGCCAGTGTTGCCATGTCTGAAATAGTCCGAATCCAACACGACCTGAGCTTGTACGCAGAAGCTAAGAAGCTCAAACAACAACAACTATATATACAACCTTAGGTTTCAATCACCCTGCAAGCCAACGTATCAACTCACCATGTGGAAAATGGGCAAGGCAAAGCTTCATCGGCTTCATGACCTTCATGGTTAGAAGCTTTTTATCAAAGGAGCACTGAGCACACACAACTTTCAACTTCTGGAATGTCTCCAAATTGAATTGACTTTGACTTTGCCACTATTCTGGCAATCTTTAGGGACCTCCCTTACCCACACAACACGGCCGCGCATGTACGCCAAAGCCATCCAAAGCCTGCGGCCCGCCTCGTGTCCCCATGTGCTGCCCTCAGGAGTTGGAAAGCGTCGGAAGAGCTCCTGCAGTGCCGCCACCCTTATTGAAGTTTGCGGCAGTGGCTCGAAGGAGATCACACGGGTCAACCTGTTAAGCATCTGCTCGTGATCTCGAGTCTATAGGCATCCAGTCACTGAACTCCTAGGCCAAATCAACAGAAGTAGGGAGGGCATGTAGTAAAAGATTCTAAAAGCCATGGGAGGAGAACATCCTGGGCTGCAAGTTTCAACCGTCAGCACTGAATTCCAAAAACTGATAGTTGAGCGAAACCACCAGCAGCTCGCTCTCCTCGATGGGCTCGTCTGGCATTAACAGCACCGCTAGCTGTGCCAAGAGCTCCTCATGTGCCAACGACACAAGCGATGCGACAGGCGTGGTCGTGTTCTCCAGAGACAGAAACATACCCATGTCCCATGTCGGTCCTAGGATGGACAGTTTATAGCGCAAATGGTCCATGAAACTCAGGAAGCACGCTTATGTAGGCTGTAGACTCTTGATTAGTAACCCAACGAACATCCACGATAGAACCCACGACAGCAAAAAGCGGTGGCGCCCAAACCATGACCCACCAAGCCCTGGGTTTCTTCAGTTACTTCATGTTACTTCAGGGATCAATGTAGGAATCTATTCCAGTCGCATGGATGGCCCGCAAAACCCTACAGGTCAAAGACCTCCTTTTACTGGAGTTGGTCATCAAAATACTACTCAAGGAGGCAAAGGACCAGGTTTTACTAGGTCTTTGGACTTGTAGGGAGAAGTCACTTATTTGGGAAAGGTCACGTATTTGAGGTCACTTGTAGGGAAATGTCAGTAACTCTTCCAGTTCCATTTGTCTGGTCTGGGGATGGTCACGTTTCTTCCAGTCCGGAGTACCACTCCACTCACTCGCCCTCGCTCGCGCCGCTCGGCTGCTCCAGCTCGCTCTTGGACTCCACGTCGACGCGCAAGTGGCTCGCGCGCCACCAGGCCGGAGCGGCAGCCGCTGCCGTCGCCGCCGTCCGCGACGCGAAGAACACGGACCAAAGCAGGCTCGCGGTCGCGAGCGCGCGCAGGGTCACGCGGGGTGTCATGCGCATGGCGGGCACGTGGGATGGGCGGTACGGCGGTATGGGGAAGTAGACTTGAAATGGTTGATGGATATACATAAATCGTGAGAGTGGTAGAAGTACAGGGGTGAAATTGAAGCCATATGTTGTTCAGAATGCTTGTAACAGCATATCTGCAGCCAAGCAATATGTTGCATATCTTGTCGTATACTTGTGGAACGCTTGACAGGACGTGGAACTTTTGAAATCTTTGAGTCTCTTGACCAAGCTGGAGTGCTTCTGCGTGCTTCTCATGATGTCTCAAGCTCGGTGCTGCGTGCGTATCTGAGAAGGTGCGAGTGGGAACAGGCGTGACTCTTCGCACAGCGGGAGTGCTCGTTCAAACCCCACGGGTGATGCCGGAAATCTCTCTCTCTTTCTGCTTTTTCTCAAAGATTCAATTCCAGAAACATGCATTAAGTATTCGGTGGAGTGCGTTTCGTTTACCACCACATGCCAATTCTGGTGGATGCATGGTGGTCGGAAGATCATCCCCACACAGGCTGAAGGCCACCGAAACAGGCTGAATGCCAAACTATATAATTGAGCTGAGGCTCATTCAGTAAACAAGAATTAGGTGTTACACATAATCCTCCTGTTCGATCTTTATTCTGTCTCATTCATTTGCTCATTCAGAATGAGTCGTAATTGACTTGCACAATAATGTTTATCAAATGGGATAACCCAGCTACGCTGTTGGGAAATATGAATCATACTTCATATAGACTCAATGGGGCCGTTCTTATCCACAAAATACCCCAACAACTAACAATGAAACATATGAAACATAATGAAACCCTGCTGCATGTGTGTTTGTTTAAATCATCTCAAGGAAAACGGACATTCGCTGGATTTACTGTGAAAAGGATAAGTTCTCTTTTCATTGAAATGCGTTCCTTCAGAACACTTTCACCCGGTCGACCGGTGATCAGCCGGTCCGCTACCGGGCGCCCCCACTGGGTAGTACAATGCGGCGGTACACGCGGCGCCTGGGCTCGGGCTGGGGAGAAGCCGGCGAAACGGCAATGGAACTCCTTGAATATCAGCCACTGGCTTGTACTCGACTGGCTTGGTAAGAATCCAGGACTAGCAGCTAGCAAGATTAAACCACTTGGAGTCTAAAAGCACCTCGGACAATGGGTACCAGTACGCAAGTATGGGTCATGTCACCCTTTCGGAGGGGACCCCACGGGTCCAGGGAGAGAGAAACACATCACCAACTCCGCCACGGACCGCAAGCACGGACCGCAACCACGGACCTTCGATCGCCCTGGTCCGATCGCCCGCGGTGCCGATCGCCTACGGAGAAGATCACCTCGAAGGGAGCGTCCGAAATGTCCGTGGCCTCGGAGCGAGAAGAAGCTCGACGTGTCGGTCGATGTGTCGGTCGGTGACCGACGAGAGGACGAAGTGCCGGGGGCGCCGCGGGTGGTTTTCGCATGGTTGAGCCTCTAATCCCAGTCAATACCAACACCCTCCAACAGGGTGTTTCCTGGGGACAACAGGTGTCCAGAAACCACCTCTTAGGGTCTCCAAATAGCCTGTCGGAGGGTCCTGGTATAGGTCGTGTTGAGCTATTTTGTGTTTAATCCGGTGCAGACTTGAAGCTACAAAGCTACAACCGGTCGGGTAGAACAAGAAAGATCGTCAGATCCATGCGACATCGTTCCTGACCTGGTTTTGAAGGCTGCTCAATCCGCTGCTTTCTCAAAAATGGATATGGGTGACCTTGGGTGACCATTGCTGGTGACCACAGTGCCTGGGGTGATTCAGCTATTGGGTTGCCAGCATCGAGTGAGTCGCCCCAAAGCTGTGATCCATCTATCTGTAGGATTCTGTAGGGTTTGAGAACTTGGATGTGATTGAGCAAGGACATGGGTGATCATGGGGGGTACAGTGAGATCCAGTTTGAGACACAACCCAAGTTCATGGGAAGCTACAATAGATCTCGAGCATGTTTAACGTCTGACAGCCCAAGATGGGACTAGAGGCAATGTAGAGCGAGCAAAAAGTTATTGTTTCAAAGTGACCTTTTTTGGAGCCCCTAAAGTGACCTTCAACAGGCCCCAGCAACGGGGCCTGAAACCAAGAGTCTTCCTAGAGGTCTCTTCGAAGAACCAGGACCATGGAATCCAACTTGTGGAGACGGCTCAAAAGGCCACTCAAAACCAAAAAAACATGTTGTTGTGTGTTTTTAGTTGTTTTGGTGTTTTTGCTATGGCGTTTTTCTGGTCCGAACGACGCAAGAGGCGTTGGGTGGGTCAGGCCCGTCTCGGTTGCGCCTGGCTGTGGGGGTCATGGCACTGGAACACCCTGCATTTTTTCCCACCAAGCTGGCCCTGGCTGGATAGACTGAGCTATGTTGCCATCATTTGCTATCTTTCTCTCCACCCCAAGAAACCCATCTGGAGAGAAGAGAATCGACTACTTGGGCTCTCCATGGCAGGGGTCCGACCCTCTTAGCAGGGGTCCGGGCCCGAACCAAACCCTATCTGTTGGTTCGGGCCCGGATACTTAGGGCACCAAGAATGAACCGAACAGACCACCTGGGAGGTCAACCTACCCTGGTCGGGCTCCGGCTGCCAAGCGCCACAGATCTGAGGCCCCCGAGCAATGGCGATGGCATAGCGGCCATCCCAACGGTCCGATTCGACCTCGGAAAACACGGGTCTTTTTCACCGGGGCCAAGGTGGCTGACTCTCCGAAACGTGGGTTCCACACCCAGTGACATGCATGTGAGCTTTACCACATCTACAGCATGCCCTATGTTTCTGTCCAACATCAGGATTCGCTGGTGAACCAAATAAGGCCCCCACAGAAATGAGATATTTTGTTGATGACACTAAAAAAGTCTGAACGAGATACTATGACATGACTTCCTAAAACAGTCTAAACAAAACCATGCATTTGAGTCTAGCAGTAAACAAATGCGTCGCTCATGTGTTGGTGAAAACAACATAAAACTTATCAATTGTTGGCCATATTTGTTTCTGGGTCTTCCCAATTGAACCATAACTTGCATGTTGTTTCCGCTCCAAAAAACAGGTGCTAAAACAACCCACCCATGTTCCACCGAGTAACCCAGTTCTGTGCGCACAAGCCTGCCGCCTGGCAAAAGCAGCCGGGCTTACTTGTTGACGGGCAAAGTAAAGGTCAAGGGGCAAAGTGGCCATGGATGGGCAGTAGTTACAACATGTTACAACCTGTAATTAATTCGGAGCCTTGATGGTTCCTAGTAGCATCCCAAACCTTTTCAGTATGTACATCAATGCGTGGTGATCCATGTGACACGTCCTCTCACCTTGGTGAGGAGGTTTAGCAAAGTCCCACAAGACACCATAACCGAATCTTGAGAGAATCTAACGTGTGTTTGTCGCATCACCTTCTTCAGCGGGTGTGCCAAACCTGATGCAGCTGCATGCGCAAGTCCATGTCTGATCTGCTGTTCCCAACATGTCCAAGGGTCAACCACAGGGACGGAAGGAATTGTGGGGAAATCGGATAACGCCATTTCGATGTGTTCAATGTTCACATCTGGCAAGAAAGAATGGGCTTCCCTTTCCCTAAGCCTATCCACCCCTCGGTCCGCCCAGCCTGTCCACCGTAGCAAGCGTTGTACATGTCCACCCCTTCGATGTTGCCCTGCAAGACCAACATAACGACCGACATGAGACTTGAAGCAGGTGGTGGTGCACAAGCAAGTCCTTTTTCAAGCGCCAACCTGCCCACCTGCCGACCTACTCAGTCTTCCACTGGATGACCTTAAGCGGGTAAGCAAAATATTTGATGCAAAAGCCACGCCAAGTTTTGCGTGCAGGAGGAGCTTCCACGTAGGATTGCCAGTCCTCTGCCTTAAGCTGCGGGATGTGAAGTTTCACAAGGCGGCTGTGCGAAGCCTTCAGTTCCAACCCGTTCGCAGTGTGTCATGCAGCCACATGCGTCACTCGCTCCACGGGAGTTTCATCTGATTCGTCCAGATCACAAAAACCAAGCAAGGCATTTGCCCTTGGCGGAATTGCCGTCTCGAATAAGCATGCTTCGGTAGTTGTTATCTAATAGAGAAGATGGTCAAGCTCAGAGTTCATTGATTTGAATCATCATAGTGCGTTACAATAGAAGACAGCAGTGCATTTCATCTTGCAAGGCTCCCTTGCTGTTGTCCAAAAAATAGCTCTGTTTACTGAACAATACACGCGCTCACAGCGCCGCCCTCTCCAGAAACCAGCAGGTGGGTGGGTGGCCCTCTTTATTGGCCTGCCTGTGTCCCATCATGTGCTGTGTGGGCTTCTGGGACTCTTTATGCATCAATGGATCAATGACCGTGTATACCGTATACCCTATAATTAAGCGTATACCGTATAACCGTAACCGTATACCGTTCAATGCTATGTCAAGATGCTGAAACGGCGACTTTTGCCCACCGCTAATTTGGCAACCTCTGCCAAACCAGTGAAACCTACTATTAATGACATGAAACGGCGATTTTGAATGTTTTTGACGGCAACCGACAGAAACTTGTGCTCCTTTGCCAAACGGCAGGAAAAAATACACCCATATATCATATACACCCGTGGAAGGTCCAGGTATGTAAACAGCACAAGTATATAGTTGTACTTGCTGAGATGGCGTGTGAGGCTGCCCCAGGACCATCCATCCACAGAAGATTTCTAGCTTCGTTCGCTTCATTCATGTGCATGCCATGTCGGAGGTAAACGTGAAGTAAACGTGAAAGAGCGGATAGATTGGAGACCGCTACTTGCAGTGTACAACCTTTAGTGGTCTCCAAATAGATAGAAACGGTGTCCAACACATGTTTGGTGGGGATCTATGTTTCTAATTAATTGTTTCTATCTATTTGGGGGTCTAGTCTAATTATACAATCGTATGTAAACATGTTCGACCACCAAACATTCCTGTGTCGTGGCTTGGGTGGCACCACGGAGTCTTACCGAACCCTTGAACGTCCACCGGTCGAAGAAGCATCCTTAGTGCTGAGAACGGTTGGTCACGCCACAGGACTGGCGCTGCCATGTGGCACGTCAGAACCTGGCGCCAGTCCTGTGGCGCCACAGGGAGCACCTCTCACAGTCAGAAAATCCCACTGCGGTGCGCGCCGCGCTGGCAAAACGGTGCGCGCCGCTTGATCGCTTGATGGGGCACAAAACATGTTGGGCACCGCTTCGCCGAACATGTTGGGCGCAGTTCATCCAGAAGTTCAACTTTCACACAACGACAACTTGTTGCTGCCAAACTATCACAATGATCATTCAATTGTCTTGCCTGTGAACTATACGAGGCACTAAGCTTCCGAGACATTGTTGACACCATCTCAATTGCACGGTCTAACATGCTTGATCCCTTCCAACCTTGGCCTTTGCCTCATCCCCGCATGAACTCATAACAATCACTACCGCCACTACCACCTGTATACTGAACAAATCTCAAAAACTGTCAACAAATGCCAACCTGAACTAGTCAACTAGGGATCGAACAGAGTATCGAAATTGGAGTCCCAGCCCAACAGCGAAGCAATGCTTGTGACCTTCAGTTGCTCCTCACCTGGGCCATAACCAGTCTCAATCTTAGTCTGAAGGTGGAATATGCTCAAGTTCGCAGTAAGAGAAAAGGCCGACCTGACCCTTTTTTTCCATCCGTAGCCCTCGAAAGAGTCATGTCCCGCAAGACTCTTCGTAGACCGATTCATACACCCCGTCCCATGTAAAGAAGGCTGTTCAATTCAACTGAGGGGGGTTCTGAAGACCTCCTTGGCCGGACTTTGACGACCTCCAACCTGCCGACCTGTCTCTCCCGGTCCGCTCGCCTCGCCCGAGCCATAACGCTCAAAGAGGTCCATCACATACGCCTACGAAGACCAATGGACCGAAAACGACACAGGGTATGAGCACTTAACGAGCCGCTCCGGTTGATTTGCCCGGTTGTGGGTTGGATTTGTTAGTCTTTCCTTGACCTAATATCAGTTATTTTAAGGGTCCATGTTAGTCTTCAAGGCGGGTAAACCCAAAACAGAAGCATTTTGAAGCGTCACAAGCGGTGGGACAGGCGTTTTGGGACTCGTGGTGCAAGTGGCAGAAGGTTCAGCCTCGGAACTGCTTCAGGCTTCGGATGGGAGGCTTGGAACGACCCAAAGAGGAACTTGTGGAATCCCAATTCATCCATATGCCTCTCTCACAGTAAAGCTGACACATGGTGCAACAGTTGGAAACTGAAGACCCAAGAAGCTCCGCTATCGGAAGTGGTGCTCCGGTGGTGTTGCTCTGAAGTTTGATTGATCTTGACCCGGTGAGGTGTCAGGGTGAGGTGGTACAAAATGTTTCTTGTTTCTCTGGACATGGGATTTGACTTTGGATGAGTGAACATGAGTAGACTGAGTAGACCAATGCATAGATTTACTTGGAATGACACAAAACGGTATGATTCAGCTTTGCCAACCAAATTTTTGCGGGCAGGTTCGATCTAAAGTCACCATAACATGTCCAATAAAAACAATAATACTCATTAAAACTTAAGACTCTTAAGTCAATACCTTAAACAATCTTCCGGCAGACACCCGGACGAAATCCACCACAGCAGCTTCGAACCAAACACACCACACTTCCGGCGCGAGCGAGCTTCAGCACGCGAAACGGCTTCCTTCCCTTCGCTGAAGACCGGAACGGACACCAGACCCAGGCCGTTCGGAACCGTTCAAGCTGAAGCCTTCATGGACTTGGATCGGTCGATGAGGCTCTCAGAACCTCAGATCGGTCGCGGAGACGCGTCGTTCGCGGCACTTCGCGAACGAAGCCTCCTAGACGTCGGGTGATCGCTTAGAAGAGGGAAAAAAAACCATCGATCCGGATCACAGACCATCAGAGTCACAGAGTATCACAGGCTTATAAAACATCAGACCAAAAAAAAAAAGGAAAAACATGGCCGGATCCTTGGTTTTTTCGTAGGAACGGGGCGCCACTAAGACGTACAACACCAGTTCTGGTCCGCGCCACGTCCGTCGTCGGCCCCAGGAACGTCTGGGCCGGCGCGCCGATGTCCAGTCGCCCCACCGAGTTCCAGCAGGGCAAGCGGTTGCCATCCTCGGCGTCTGGGGGGGGGAAAAGGGCATAGAACAACAGCCCAAAGCCCAGGCCACAAAGCCAAGGTCACTTGAGACTGAAGGTGTAGCAGTTTTAGGGGGCATGGACAATTTGTTTGACAAGAGAGACATGCCGCCATGCCTAAGACGTCTTGTTTGCGTGGCCAAAGGATGGGACGCACCACGAGCAACTAATGGTTTGTTTTCTTGAAATTCGACTGAACCCGAAAAAAGAAAAAGATGTGGGTAAGCCTTCATTCATCTCGGGCTGCGGGTTTTTTGCGACAGTTTTAGGGGTTTTTTGCAACGGTGAGGTGTGAGAGGGTTTTTTTGCGATGGTGACCGCAGAAAGGGTTTTCTGTGACAGTACTGTCCGCAGGGGGGGTTTTTTGCGACGGTGTGGCGAGGGTTTTTTGCGAGGGATAGAGAGGTGGCAAGCGTTTGTGGGGGTTTTCTGCGACGGTAACCGGGGTTTTTTGCGACGGTAGCGCATGGACGGGGTTTTCTGCAACGGTAAGCGGGGTTTTTTGTGACAGTAAGGGGCTCGAGGCGACGGTACTATAGTAGTAGTACGACGACGACGACTACTACTACTACCACTTCTACTTCTACTTCTTACTACCACTACTACTACTACTACCACTACTACTACTACCACTACTACTACTACTACCACCACTACTACTACTACTACTTCTACTTGTTGCTACTACTACTACTACCACTACTACTACTACTTGTTGCTACTACTACTACTACTACGACGACGACGACGACTACTACTAAACAAAACAAAACAAAACACAACAAAACACAAACAAACAAACAAACAAACAAACAAGCGCACAAGCGCACAAGCGCGAGTTCGAGTTCGCTGCTGCTGCTTCTACTATTCTGACTGACCACTACTCACTCCAAGCCCAGGGGGTTTTTTGCGACAGTAATTTCAGAACTGTGGCAGAAAACCCTGCTTTCCAGCAGGACCGTCGCAGAAAACCCCCCTTGCAGGTAGCACCGTCGCAGAAAACCCCCTTAACTGTGCAACTTTTTAAAAAACCCCCTAAAACTGTCGCAAAAAAAACCCGTCCCATTCATCTTTCCAGCTCAGACCCAAGAACAACTTGGGATGCCACTCTAGCCCGATACGTTCCACCAAGCAATGTCCGAGACGCTGATGCGCCTAGCCTATAGGCCCCTATAGAGCACTGATCTTAGCAGGATCTCAGGTAAATGGGTCCTAACATGTTGGCTTAAACAGATTCCAGGGAACCCCCAGCCTTAGCCTGTTTGGAACCAACCTGAATTGGACGAGCCAATGACGCCCCGCCCTCACCTTCAAGTTTCCTCTTGACCATAATAGACTTGGAAGCCCCGGCGGAGCAATTGAACGGGCCCTGAATGAGGAAAAACATGAAGCTCCGCAAAGAACAAGTGGACCCCGAATCTTCCAAAGGAAGGTTCACGTTGAAGTCCAAAAGCCACCCAAAGCTGTTCACTGTTTGTTCTTTGTGGAACACACATATGGCCACAGCAAGTAGGTCATAGAAACATCTAGAAACATGTCTTGTATATTGATTCATTGAATACCTTTAAAATCCACTGAAATGCTCCACAATCACAGCTCTGAAGCACAGGCATGATCCTTGGGGCACCCTGCAGGCATATATCTATAGGTCTCGTTGAAGTTCTCCTGGCCGACTTTGACAAACGTGAGTGGTAGATCATGTTTGTCTTGATGTCAAGCTCTTTTGAGACTGGGGGAAGGAAGCTAAATTACTGTCAAATATCGACAAGAGTATAGGAAACCCCGACCGAGTGAATCGAAAGAATCCCCTCTGACCGGGCAATGTCAAAGGACGGACCTACCCCTGAGGTGTTGCGGGCCCCCTTCAGGTCCGGAGCACAGGTCTGCGTTGGCGAGACAGCCGCTGTCCGAGCAAGTCGACCCCGCTGAGGAGCAGTACAGAGCTAGACCTGCTTTCAAACAAAACGAGTGAATCTTCCATCGGTTCATGTTATTCGCACGCACCACCAACAGATATTGTAAAGCGATCCAAAATCTGTTCTATATAAGAACAAAACCGCCTGCACTCTTAGTGCGCCATGTCACAGGCCGCAACAGATTCATAGTTCACCTGCAAGTTCACCATCTTGACAAAAAGATTCAAACTTTGAAACCGGTGTCGCGCCGTCGGAAAGGACGCGATGACGCTACTAGTAGCTCCTGGGGGCTAGTAGCCAACGGCTACTATACGTTCGGGCGATCGGGACGCCAACGTAGCGATCGGGACGCGAGGATCGAACTCGATGGATCCCGGGACCCGGATCCGTCACGCCCCCACCGGTGGACACCGCCTTCTCCATCCTCTCGATGAGCCGATGCGTCACAGTCATCGAGAAGCTCACGGGGTCCTGGCGAGCGAAGGCGAGATGCGAAGAGGATTCTATATGGTTGTTCAGAAAGGGTTTGAACACCCTAGGCTTCCAACAGCGGATTTTACACTACGCAACCAGGTCAACCGAACTCTTTGAATGGTCGAACGGAAGCCTAGGGAAAGCAGTAAGTGACTCAATGTAGAGATCGATATATAACCTCAGCACCCGACAGCCAACAGATCACCACCTGTGACTTTGAAGTCAGTAAAAGCCACCAGTGGAGGAGACCTGTTGGAGGGTGCTGGTAGAGATCCTATAGAGATGTGTTCATGTATCTGGCAAAGTTGAGATCGGAGACTTTTGTGGTTTCTGGAAGAGTCAGGGCTAGTCAACCCATTGTTCTAGCGATCCCGGTGAATGTAAAAAAACAATACACCCATTGATGTAAAAATATATTTAAACATAACACATGGTACGAATACCACCCTCCGATCTCAGTCTAGGATACCACAAGTTTGTGTGAGTCTCCCCCTCACAAGTCCAAGGTTGATATACACATGACACCTTGATTTAAAACGTTGAAAAATAACATCATGTCCTCTCTCACCTACTGCATAAGTGGGATCATGATTGAAAGCATGTCCGAGTTGCAGTGCTAGTATTTCGGGTGATTTCTTCGGCCAAGGACTTCCAATCTCCCGAGATCCCTGGAGAATAGCGGTGACCTGTCGGCAAACATTTCACCTGTTCATGCTTCGTCTGCCGTCTCCAATTCCCTAAGCAACAAGCTTGGGCAGGATATGCACATATATGCACTGACCTGGTAGGATATCGTCCTCACCTCCGCTCCCGCGCGTATCGCTCCTCATCGTCGGTGGGATATCGGGCCTCGATCATGCCGATGCCTCGATCGGGCGCGCACGCGCGCGCGTCGACCGACCCTGGGGCCGTCGCTCGGTCGCTCGGTCCGACCGCGGTGGGTACCATGTTTAAACCCGAACGCTGCTATAGTAGGGTTAAACCCTAGCTATAAGGCTTAACCATGGTTTAACCTGTAAGGTATTGTAAGAAATCCATGTCCAAAAACCAGACTAAGATAGACTCAGATGGTCTGGCAGTACCGTACGCCTTTTCGGACAGTCAAGGTTTATGAGCCAAGAAAGAACAGCTATTGGTCTTGGCCGAGCGGGCCCTGAAGGCATCGAGAATGCCTGTCTCAGATATTCCTTCTCTGACCCTCCTCATCTTGACCAAGTCCCCAACCGGAAACAACGAGTCACAACTGTTGCACATGGCTATATAATGGTTGCAAATATATTTCTGGGATGTTATTCGTTTTTTTGGGGATTTTTTTTGTTTTTCATGTTTCGTGGCAGGTGCAGTACTTTGTGGACCTTGCAAAGCACATTTCGTGGCAGGTGCAGGACTTTGTGGGCCTTGGAGTGCAGAGTTTGTGGCAGGCGCAGGACTTTTTGTGGGCCTTGAAGTGCAGATTTCGTGGCAGGTGTAGTACTTTGTGGTCCTTGGAGTGCAGATTTTGTGGCAGGCGCAGGACTTTGTGGACCTTGAAGTGCAGATTTCGTGGCAGATGCAGGACTTTGTGGGTGTGGAAGTGTAGAGTTGGTGGCAGGTGCAGGACTTTGTGGGCCTTGGAGTGCAGATTTCGTGGCAGGCGCAAGACTTTGTGGACCTTGAAGTGCAGATTTCGTGGCAGGTGCAGTACTTTGTGGATGTTGAACTGCAGAAAGATAGAAAGATACATTGATAGATAGATTAGATTAGATTAGATTAGATAAGATAAGATAGATAGATAGAGGAGGCATATTTGCTTGGTTAGAAAGTTTTGCACCGGGGAGTTCACCTTAAAATATTGATTTCGTGGCAGGCGCGGGTGTCGGGGATGAAGTGCAGATTTCGTGGCGCGGAGGGGGTTGGGGGGGGGCAGCGCCCCCCCCCCCAGCAGC